TGGGTTAGTGGCCTATTATATTTAAAAGCATCTACTGTCCTGACCAGTCAGGGGGCTGTATCTGCAGTGGTAATTGACCCCTTCCTCGCGTTCCCGTCTCAGATATTCATTTCAGTGGAGTTATTGGGTTCATTTCTTTACCATTATTGCTACAGGTGGGAGGAGAGGAAGAGCTGGTAGACAAGTGCCAGCCTGAGCCTGATTGAAAAGAATTTAGTGGTGTGTCAAAGCTTTGGTTTGCAGGTATGGTGTCAGAAACCAGTATGTGGTGGGCAAGCCTAGTGGTTGGAGCGGTGGCAGTCAGACCTAGTAGTGAGTGTGGTTGCAACTGGATCTGCAGTCAGGAGTCAAGTACAGATGCGGAAAAAAGCAAGAGTAGGGCTGGGTGCTAGGCTGGAGCAAGGGCAGGGCTGGTGAAAGACTGGGAACAAGGCTGGAGGCAGATCAAGGCTGGAGATGGAGCAGGACTGGGAACAAGGCTGGAGTCAGAGCAGGGCTGGTGAAAGACTGGGAACAAGGCTGGAGGCAGATCCAGGCTGGAGCAGGGGCAGGACTGGGAACAAGGATGGAGTCAGATCCAGGCTAGGGCTGAAGCAGGATGGGGAACAAGGATGGAGTCGGAGCAGGGCTGGAGCAAGGGCACAGGAATGACTCATCACCACATGAGGCTTAATCCGGCTCTCGTTCAGGGATGATGCATCACCTCAAACATGGTAAATTTGACTGTGAATAGGAGGCTATTCCCTGTCTACAGACTTCATTGATGCAGAGTTAAGCAGAGCCAAGTACCCTTCCCGCGTGCACCAATATACTCCAACCAGGAAATGCAGCGTGAACACCTACCAATCCTGCTCCACAACTTGAACTCTGCTGCCCGGGGCTGGCAAGGACCACTGGGATATACTGTATGTTTAATCCTGGCCTGCCCTGTGATAAGCAGAGGTGAGGAACGACTATGTAACTGTGCCCATCATAGGTGTGGCCATCCCATAATGCCCCCTTGTGCTCCAGTATCACACTGCTCGCACCCCCCTGCCTCAGTTTCTCCTTGCCTCAGGACCCCTTAAGAACTCCACACAGTCCAAAGACCTAAGATAAAACGCCTCTGCTGGGGTTTTACCCTATTAAGTCCAGATACACTTGAAAGGAAGTCTTTCTTCCACTCAGACTCCAAGCCACTCTAGCCTGTAGTTTCTCCCCTCAGGTTCAGGGCTGAACAACCCTCTTTCTTGGGGCCTGTGTTTCTGAGTCGTGGCCTCCCTGACTCGTAGAGTCTTCAGAAGCTGGGAATGGGCGACAAGGGATGGATCACTTGATGATTACCTGTTCTGTTCATTCCCTCTGGGGCATCTGGCATTGGCCACTATTGGAAGACAGGATACTGGGCTAGATGGACCTTTGGTCTGGCCCAGTAGGGCCGTTCTTATGTTCTCTTGGAGTCAGCATTGCTCAGCTCTCCTTTCTTTGGCCTGTCTTTCTGGGCTTTCAGCAACTCCTTCAGGCACCCTTTTGGCTGCTCTCTATGTCATTCTTTCCCTTTGTTCCCTGACCTGACAAAGGTCCATGGGTAACAGTCCTTCCCCTGCTGCTGTCCAGAGCAGTGGCCTCCTGGTTCCTCTGGCATAACAGACAATCCATGCACGGACAATCCAGGAAGTTTTTGAAGAGTTCTGGGGACAACTTCCTGGTACAAAGTGCTGGAGGAACCGACTAGGGGCCGTGCTCCGCTTGACCTGCTGCTCACAAACAGGGAAGAATTGGTAGGGGAAGTAGAAGTGGGTGGCAATCTATGCGGCAGTGACCATGAGATGGTTGAGTTCAGGATCCTGACAAAAGGAAGAAAGGAGAGCAGCAAAATATGGACCCTGGACTTCAGAAAAGCAGACTTTGACTCCCTTTGGGAACTGATGGCCAGGATCCCCAGGGAAGCTAATGTGAGGGGAAAAGGAGTCCAGGAAAGCTGGCTGTATTTTAAAGAAGCCTTATGGAGGGTGCAGGAACAAACCATTCTGAAATTCAGAAAGAATAGCAAATATGACAGGCGATCAGCTTGGCTTAACAGTGAAATCTCCGGTGAGCTTAAACACAAAAAGGAAGCTTACAAGAAGTAGAAATTTGGACAGATGACTAGGGAGTGTATAAAAATCTTGCTAGAGCATGCAGGGGTGTAGTTAGGAAGGGTAAGGCACAATTGGAGTTGCAGGTAGCAAGGGGTGTGAAGGGTAACAAGAAGGGTTTCTACAGGTATGTTAGCAACAACAAGAAGGTCAGGGAAAGTGTGGGCCCCTTACTGAATGGGGAAGGCAACATAGTGACAGATGATGTGGAAAAAGCTGAAGTACTCAATGCTTTTATTGCCTCGATCTTCACAGACAAGGTCAGCTCCCAGACGGCTGCACTGGGCAATACAGTATGGAGAGGAGGTGAGCAGCCCTCAGTGGTGAAAGAACAGGTTAAAGACTATTTAGAAAAGCTGGACGTGCACAAGTCCTTGGGTCCAAATCTAATGCATCCAAGAATGCTGAGGGAGTTGGCTGATGTGATTGCAGAGCCATTGGCCATTATTTTGAAAATTCGTGGTGATCAAGGGAGGTCCCGGACGATTGGAAAAAGGCAAATATCGTGCCCATACTTTAAAAAGGGAAGAAAGAGAACCCGGGGAACTACAGACCTGTCAGCCTCACTTCAGTCCCCGGCAATATCATGGAGCAGGTCCTCAAGGAATCCATTTTGAAGCACTTGGAGGAGAGGAAGGTGATCAGGAACAGTCAACATGGATTCACGAAGGGCAAATCTGGGTAACCAGGCTGGTCCACCTTCCTCCTAGCTCTCTCTGAAGCAGGGATTCCCTACCAAGGCAGGTTGGATAGCTGCCCCGGATGCACTGGTACAAACCCAGTCAGGCAGCATGGTAGGTGTAGACACAGAAACATGACTCTGTTGTGAAAACAGCTGCTGTGTGGACCATGTTTGTAGTCACTGGGCCAGATGAGAGTATCACAAATGAGGTATTAGATACCCAGCTGTATTTGTATTAGTTTGCTGGTATGAGGGACGAAGACTTGTCCAGTGGCTGGGGTGCTAACCTGGGACAGCAAAGGCTGGTGCCCAGGCAAGTCCCCGCTCCACCACAGACTTTCTGTGTCACTCAGGGAATGTCTCCAGTGTGACTGGAGCATGTGTCGACCCACCTGAGCTAGCTTGGGTACCAACAGCAGTGAAACTGCAGTCACATGGGCTAGCCACCCAAGTACAAGCCTCCAGGGAACCTGGGTATGCAATTCAGAGGCAAGCCCATGCTTCCATAGCTTCATTGCTACCGTTATTCGAGCTCGTCTTTCCTGAACCAGTGTTGATATGTCTACATAAGCTACAATCACATCTCTGATTGCAGTGTAGACATAATCAGCGTTTCTGTGCCTTGACTCTCCATCTATAAAAAGGGGATATGGGCCTGTTCCTGCCAGAAAAGGGTGTCGTGAGAATAAACACGTTCTATCGTGTGAGGTGCTCAGATATTATAGTCATGGGGACCAGGTAAATACCTAAGATAGAAGAGGTTGCTTAAGCCTGGGGGCCTGTAGCGAGGCGGTGTGGTTCCCCGCCACCCCGGAGAGGGACGAGCCCCTCTGGATGCCAAAGTGGGCGGAGCCAGTGGAGCTTGCGCCCACCCCCAGAGGTCAGGGCGCAGGACAGGAAAAGCCCAACCCCAGAGCTCACTAGAGGCCCGGCCGCTGGAGAAGCCAGATGCCTGTGGCTTAGCTCCCGGTTGGGAGACTCCTGCAGTTTGCGACTGACCTGAGGACTGGCCAGACCAGCCGAGGCCTGATGCCGACTAGGCCCTGGAGAAGCTATTAAGCCTGCCTGTGGCAAGTTACCCTGCGGAGCTGCCAAGCCTACCGCTCGCCGGGTACCCTGAGGAGCCCATGCTGCTTTATTCCTTGGAAGCCACCATCCAGACGCAGGTACCTCTAGAGGGGGAGGTAGGAAGTAGCCCGGGGGCAGCTGACCCTAGTCTGGCTGCAGCACACCCAGAGCCGATGTCAGTGTGTTGCGGCCAGGATCCCAGCAGCGGGTCTTCTGCAGCTTCTAGGGCCCCGGGCTGGGACGCAGTGGAGTGGGAGGGCCTGAGTCCCCCCTGCCACCCAACTCATGGGTGACCGTCTCCCCCTCTCCCCAGGCCCTTCGGAGCCAGGGTCTGGCTTAGTGCTTCATTGTTTGCTCAGCCCCTGTCTGAGGGCCTGAGCCACAAACTCTATACTGCCCCGCCCTGTCCCAGGGCCTGGGCTTCCCTGGACTAATTTGTTTGCTCAGCCTCTGCCTGAGGGCCTGAGCCTCAGACTCTGTATTGCCCCACCTTGACCCAGGGCCTGGTCCTCCTGAACGTACTTGTTTCCTCAGCCCTGCCTGCGAGCCTGAGCCACGGACTTTTTGCTGCCCGCCCTAACCCAGAGCCTGAGCTTATTGCCTGACGGTTTGCTCTGTCCCTGTCCAAAGACCAGAGTGTAGGAGTCGCTACCGCCCGCCAACCGGGCGTGAGTAACTATTGTTTTGCCTTTACCGCTGCCGTGGCAGGAGACCCCGCGGCCAGACTAGTTCCCCGAAGTAACCAGATGGACGTAGCGAGGCGGTGTGGTTCCCCACCACCCTGGAGAGGGACGAGCTCTGGCCGAAGCCTTCTACAGGGCCTGATTCTCATTTGCACTAAGACCACTGTACCCCGCTCTATCAGCGAAAAGAGTCTCCAAAGTAGGAGTCAAACATATTTCCACCTATACTAAAGCCACTTCACAAGCCCAGAATGAAATCTATGATCTCTATGAAGAATAAGAGAGAAACATTCATGCCCCTGTAGGAATGCAATATTTATTAATTACTATTATTAGTAGTATTTATTATTATTAAGGAAATGTAATGTAACAGTATATGTTTAATTAAAGAAGAAGAGCAGAGGTTTCGGTGGCTGTTGAAATGGGATTCCTTCAGCACAGCATCATCTCTTAATCCCGGCAGCATACCATGGTATGATGGTAGCAGGTGCCGATCTGCACTTCACCATCATCGCAGTCATCGTATCGGCATGTCCCGCCTCTCTGTAGGCAGTGGTTGAGATATCGAGTCACCCGCTGGCCATTTGCTGCGCAAAGAAGAGAGCTGTGTTTGCAGTTGCAAATGCAGGGCAATATCAGTTGTGACGTGTGGTCAAAGGCCCACTGATGGCGGGGAAAGACTTAATCCGATGTGCTAGAAAGACTCACCACCCCAGTCCAATGTCCACTGAACTCTTCCCAGTGACTTCAAGGGGCTCTGGAGTGGACCACAAGTAAGATCTTTCATAAAGAGCATCAGACCAGACCAGGAGAAATTTAAACCAGAGGGAAGATTCTCTCAGTAGGGCACTAGATTAGGAGTCAGGAGACCTGGGCTCTATTCCCAGCATTGCCATTGACCTTCTGTACATGTGCCTAAATATTTTGCTTAAATTTTGGGGAAGCTCAGACCCTAATCCAGACTTTGCACTTGGACAGACCCGTTTCTGGTTCTGGGTCAGCCAGGGATTGATTTTCAAGTGAGTTCCCTCCCTGCCTCCCTCTCCAAAGCTTCTGGGAGGAAATTTTGGCTCTGGGTTGAAATCATTCGACACTGAGTGATTATCACTCAAACCCACAGTGAGCACTGAGGGTGAGTCCTGGCTCCAGTGACGTCAAAGGGAATTTTGTAATTGACTTCAATGGGGTCAGGATTTCACCCCCTGAGTTTCACTTTAATTCTCCATTGGAACCTGAAATTCAAAGTGAAAATCAGGGGGACTGAGCTCCTGCAAAGCTAACCCTCATTTGGGAACCGACCCAACCAAGTTTGGCACGGCTCCAATATTTACATCTTACCTGAAGTGGCCAGGGAGATCCCTAAGAGAACAACAAGCAGAAGGTAGAAAATCCTCATGGTTTGTGGTCAGCTGGAATCACAGGGAAACTGGAGAGAGGAGACAGAAAGACAAAACCGACTCTCAGGTACATATCCACAGGTGCAGTATAAACAGCCCGACAGAAAGAGAGATACAGAGACAGATAAGTGATGAATGGATAGAAAATGAAGCTGAGGTTCCTTGAAAGATGATCACAGATCTCCAAATTGACACAATTTTCCCAGTAAACCATAATGGATCCTGGTCCAGGACTTGGTCTCCTGGGAGCTATAGTAATACAAATAATAATAATAAGAATCTTCTTCTTATTTAAATATCTCTTGTTTCCGCCTTGATGCCCACAACAACAGTCAACAATTGTCATGGTCTAATATCTGCATGTTTCCCACTTTCATATAAAGGCCACCCCCTCCCCCATCTCCCACCCACAGCACCACCCAGGCATTCACGTGCCCAAATTTGTTGCATCACCTGTTCTGTCCCCAGGTTGGTTGTAAGCTCCTGGGATCAGGTGTCCTTAGCACATCTGTGGGTGCTCTCAAATCACACCAATAGGGGAAGCAGATACAAATGAATGAAATGAATTGAGCTTGAGTTACCTGGTACTTACAGCTCAACACCCCTCAGACTTGCTTCAAACCAAAGGCTCAGTTGGCAACAACAGATCCACTCCCAGCTGCTGTGGCTGGCTAAGGGTCAGCTGCTACCCCCAAAAACTGCAGAGAAGAGAAACGAGAGATACTGATACTGGATTCCTTAAAGGATAAAGACAAAGAGCCCTTGAATTCAGACAGAGTTATCCTACAAAAGCTCATGGCATTAGGGGGAGAGGACATAGAGCCATTGAATTACCTGGAGCCTACAGTACAGCACTGCTCTCACCCTGTGGCTGTGCCCACAGCAGTGCCCGGAGTGCCTCTGCCAACCACTTGTTTGGAACCTTATTATTACAAAGAAGAATAAAACCCTGTCTTGTGATTGGCTGAAAAGTCATGTGAAAATTCTAGAATCCCTCTCCATTGTTTATTTACAATAGGCCCAGCTACCTGCTGGAGTATTATTAGCCAATCAGATTGCATATATAAATATCTCCATCCTGAGTGGCTGCAACAGAGTTTAGAGCTATTCATCACTTATTAGCTTCTTGGAGGCACAAACACATTTCTGCTTTCTGGCTGGCTTATCATAAGTAACTATTTTTTCCCTGGAGTTATAGATTCATAGATTCTTACGCCATAAGGGACCATTGTGATCATCTAGTCTGACCTCCTGTCTAACACAGGCCAGAGAACCGGCCTGAAATAACTCCTGTTTGAACTGGAGCACATCTTTAAAGGAAAAACCCAGTCTTGATTTAAAAATGGCCAGTGATGGAGATTCTATCACAACTCTTGCAAATTGTTCCAGTGATTACTAACCCTTACTTAATTACCATGACTTCTAACTGCAAGTCCTTTTTAGAGTATTAGTTTTCAAGAAAAAACAGTTGTGTTTAAGAAATGGGTAGCCAGGATTTAGTGATCTCAAGGTTGCCATTTAAAAAACCCAACACATAAAGAATGTATGTACAGCTGCAATCCTTATGCTTATTTGAATGAACATCCTGATTCTCCTCTGACTTACAACAGCACCAAGAGTCATGTAATTACGTCAGAATCTCAGCGTCCATCTTAAAAAAGTAACTCTCTAGACGTCATGGCTGTGAAGAAAAACTTAAAAACATGGCCTGAGTGTAACTGATGTGGTGATGTCTGCCTGAATCTGCAGAGAGCCTGAAACAACAGCTCTGGGAGGTGTGAACTACACAATGCTTTTCAATGGAGTGTTAACGTCAAGATTCACTTCTCAGGGGGGTTGGGAGGAAAGGGGAGGGGACAGCTAAAACCAGTCCAGTAGAGGACTCTGAGTGTGAGTGGCAGGAGAAATAGAGTGCACTGGGTTGCACTCACATCCCAGGTCCTGGGATAAATACTAGGGGGTCCTGTGTTGCCAGCCCTGCCTCTTTAGGGGAGAAGAGGACCCCATGCTGGTGGTTCTGCCCCTCTGGGATGGGAAAGGGGCTGATCAGCCATCACTACTCCAAGATGTGTGGGTCCCACAGCATGAGAGTACAGGCCCTAGATTACCTTAAAGGGGCCTTGGATAAGATGGAAGCACACACGTGAAGGAAAACTCACTCTGAGCACAGAGAATTATGAAGGGCCATCAGTGATACTGCAAGGCCCCAGACAGTCCCCATTAAATGTGAACGGAAAAATTCCGGTCACTCGGCAATGTGGAGAGAAGGCTACATCCCAAGAGGTCTATGTTGCAGATGACCTGGGCACTGCTCTACTTGGCCACCTGGCAATCGCAGCCCTTGGCCTGATTATAAGGATAGAACCAGTCTCCGTGGACCTAAAACATGAGATTAGAAAGAGATTCCCAAAATTATTCCAAGGCCGGGGAAATTAGAGGGAACATAAGAACGGCCATATTGGGTCCGACCTATGGTCCATCTAACCAATATCCTGTTGTCTGACAGTGAGGGAATGAGGGAGAATCCCACATTAAACTTATACCAAAGGCAAAGCCAGTTGCTCTGTAGCTCTGTTGACATCTAGGAGAGGGGAGAGCACTCAGGGTGAAAGCAGAGCTTAGCCGCATGGAGCAGATGGGTGTCATTTCCAGAGCGGACACTCCAGTGTGCAGGCAGGGCAGCGGTCCCCAAACCAGACAAAGTTCAGATCTGTGTAGACCTTACCGAGCTTCGGACAGGACTACATTAGTATGAATTGCAGCCCTCTGACTCCAGCAGATGGATCAAAAGGAGATATTTACCTACACCCCGATTCTTTAAACACTTAGGCACTTTACTACTGTGAATAGCTCCACGGACTTCAAATGACTCACAGCATTAAAATTAAGTCAGGTGTTTACGTTTTTGCAGGATCGGGACCTAAGATTGTAAACTTCTCAGGTCAAGGACCATCTTTTTGTTCTGTGTTTGTACAGCACCTAGCACACTGGGGCCCTGGTCCATGGTTGGGGCCCCAGGTGCTACCACAATATTGTTGTCCCTTTTTGACCCAAGTGGATAGTCAAAGTGCAAGGCCCTGGAAGTAGACATTGACAGAGTCTGGTATTTTCTTTGATGCAATCTTGTTTATTTACAAGTAATGTACAAAGTCCTGCTCCTCCAATTGCAGGAACCAAGAACAAAAGTTGCAGTACCTTAGCTTACAGCTCCAAACCTTTGTAGCCAACAGACCCCAAATCTCTTTCCTTAGCTTTCTCCAGGGTCACATTGTGCTACTTCTTGGATTTCTTGCTTTTTGCCTCTGCCCCTCTCTGACACATACCTACCCAAAACAATACTCAGCAAAATCCCACCCACTCACTTAGTCCAAAAACTCCTGCATGGGTTCACAATCCCTTTTCTCTTAAGTGGCGGGAGCTTGTGGTTAACTTATCCTTACAGTTATAGTAATTGAAGTGTGTGTTCACACCCGTCAATCCCACTGAGGTTTTAACGTGATCCATAATGAGGTTTCACCCCATTCAGAACAACACAAATGACAATAATAAATACATTTCCTACTTTTCCACATTCAGGTCAGCTGAGTCCTAGTCCAGTGACCTATCCACTACACCAGGGGTTCTCAACCTTTTTCTTTCTGAGCCTTCCACCCCCAACATGCTATAAAAACTCCACGGCCCACCTGTGCCACAATAACTGGTTTTCTGCATATAAAAGCCAGGGCCAGCATTAAGGGGTAGGAAGCAGGCCAACTGTCTGGGGCCCATGCCACAGGGGGCCCTGTGAAGCTATGTTGCTCAGGCTTCGGCTTCAGCCCCGGGTGATGGGGCTCAGGGCCCCGGGCTGCAGTCCCACGTGGTGGGATTTCGGCTTTCTGCCCTGGGCCCCAGCAAGTCTAATGCCGGCCCTGCTTGATGGACCCCCTGAAACCTGCCCCTGGCCCTCCAGGGGGCCCCAGGCCCCTGGTTGAGCACAACTGCACTAGACCATGCAGCCTCCTGGGCAGCTTGAGGCCTTTACCCAGCATCCTGCCTTCCACAAATACCTACTGTGAGGGCATCTGCCTAGTGCCGGGGGACTGCCTTTGCTTCCAACGCACAATGGTCAGACTCAGCAGGCTGGTCCTCCTGCCCCCAGACCTACTCCCCCACTTCTCCTATGATACCCTTGCGGGTCCCAACCCCCCCGGCACTGCCATTGACCAAGGTTGTGTGCAATCAGCCCTAGGCACCCCGGCAGGTGGCAGTGGCAGATGTGTACCCTGGTGATGCAATGTGGCAAAGTAGAGGTACTTATGCCACCTGGTGAGGCAATTCCACTGGGTTGTTTCCTGGGAATTCTTCCCCCCACCCCTGGGCACCAGGAGGCATCCTAGGCTGTGGCTGGATAGCCTGGCCACTCCATCTGCCTGAAGTGTTGCCAGACTGGGGACAAGGCTGCTGCTGCAGGATCCCCTCCTTCAACACGGCAGGATGGTCCTAACATCATCATCTGCTCCTCTGCCTGCATCTCTTTGTGCCAGTAAAGAACCCACCCAAAGTTCTCCCAAGAAGGACCACACAAAGAGCTTTGTGCCAGGAACATTTGAGGCACCAGAATACTCTGTATGCACGATAACCCTTCCCCGTGTTATCTTGTGAGCTTCCCGCCACAGAAAGAAAATTTCAACAACACTGGAAAGCCCATGAATAATAAGCGGTTATTTATCAGCTGGGTTTGATCTGAAAAATCATTAGTGACACCAGCAAAATAATGATGGGCCTGGAGGGACAATGAATCTGGACATTAATTGAATTATGAAGTCAATATATTGTGAAGTCAAAAGTGCCTATGTGCCTAAAGCCCATTGACTTCAGCGGGAGTTAGGTGTGTCAGCACTTTTCAGAACCCCAGTAAATATCTAGCTGCATCCTTAGGTGTCTAAATACCTTTAAAAATCTGGCCCCATATCCTCAGCTGCA